GCGGCCAGGGAGAAGGACCTCAGCGCGACGTTCCCAAAGATCAAAGCCACTGGCCGCAGGATCGCTCGGGCCCTTTTCTGAGAGGGGCTGTCGGAGGAGCTCCCGGCTGGTGCCCACATGCAATGCCTGGATGGGCTTCTCTCCGGCAGGGGCCGGTGGGTCATGCCTGGGTCCTCCACCCAGGACAAAAAGCAGGGAGGCCCCTCAGCGGCACCCCAAACTCTCTGACGAGACTCGAAGCGTGTGTGCGACTGAGGTCACCCAGCCATTGTAGAGAGGGGCAGGACAGCTGCCCGGGAGGCGAGACTTGCAGGGCTGCCAGATTGGGGGTGCTTCCACTCCCCAGTTCTGCTCTGGGGCTGTGAGTGCCAGAAGAGCATCGGCCATGCAACAGGGGACTTCACGGCTCTGCTGGAGCGCTCCTGTCCACCTGCTTGAGGGTCCAGCAGTGACCAACGGGCCTTTCCCTGTTCATGCCCAGGGAGCGCCTGGCATCTGTGGGGCAGCAGGAGGGAGGCCCGAGGGCCCTGGGGGCGTGAAAGGGGTGCTGTCTCTTGGGATCCCAGCTGCCGAGCGGGGAGGGTGTTGTCTGAATGCAGCCATGCTGCCTAGGGATGATGGGAGTTGTAGTCCAAGCCATCTCAGAAGGGACTCCCCAAAGTCTCCCTCTAGCCTTGCAAGACCACACGGCTCAGCAGGGGCACCAAGGGCAGCAGCAAACCAGTGTTTCTGGGGTCTCTGCTGCCCCCTGGAAGTGTTAGGAGAGGGTTGCTTGTGGTTGGGGGACGGACCCTGTTGCAAATGGTTAGTGCTGGGATGGAAGGCCACCAGGATCCCCCTTGGCGCTCTGCTACTGTGAAGTGTCCAGGCGTGAATGATCGTGGACAGGAACGGAAGGCAGGCAGAAGAAATCGAGAGGCCGAAGACGAGTGCTTTGGCAGGGGATCTTAGAAAGGGCGACTCGGCCTCGGGGACAAGGAACCTGGGAAGAAGCCAGAGAGCGCTTGCCGGGCGGGATACCGTGGCTGAGATTCTGCATTTGCCTCCGAGGAGCGTGAAAGAAGCCTTCCTGAGTCTGCACCGTTCTTGGTTCCTTGGTGTCGGGAACTGCAGCTTTCAACCACAATAAAAAGAAACCTCCTCTGGAACTCAGCAAGTCCAAAAGAAAATCAGTTTATTGAGGGCTAACATACAGCCATGGTAGAGATTGCTGGAACTGAAAAGGCCACGTGCACCAACGCGTTCTTAACCCCTCGTTCCTTGCCCCCCTTCCTCTCCTCAGTCTTCCTGGTGCCTCCTCCTGCTCTCACGCCGCCACGACCTTGGCATTCTTGAACACTAGATAACAGGCCGCCTGCTCTAACTGCTATTCGCCTAGCCCCCCACTCCCCCCTACTACTACTATGGCAGAACTGAGCAAGCCAACTATAATGCTGGTTAATTGATTGCGAGGTTCTGACACTTGGTCTTGCCCAGCTACATGGGACTCGGCACCTCCCTGCTTTGGTGCCACCTGGGGGGCAGTGTGGACTCTCAGCCGGGTCACGTGAATCATGGCCATCCTGGGATCGGCAGACCACAAGCTGAGTGTCAGCCGTGAGGATGCAGTAGCTGTGGAAGGAGCCAGTGCGATCCTCAGCCGCAAGGGCCGAATTCTCGTGTCAAGC